ATATATATATATATTTATATTTATATTTATATTTATAAAACTAATATTGAGAACAAGTAGGCAGGGTACACCCATTGAAGGGCTGACACTGTGTCACAGACTTTAGGACAAGGCCACTCAGAAACGCACCCACCTGTTCTAGAATTATACATCGCATTCATAGCGCGCAACATATAAGGGACGGAGCTAAAATGCATACAGTTATACCGATGATACATTTTTTACTAATATGTTATGATAATTATACTTTAAAAGAAATTTAGAAAAAAAAATAGTGTAAGAACATTTGTTAACTTAGTCGAAAGTATTAGACATTTTACAATATTAATTTAACGTTACAAAATTAATTGCGCTTAAAACTCGACATATTCGTACAATTCCATTAGCATAAAATAAATACAATTAAGTACAATTGCATAGCTTCATTTACATAAAATCTTGAAAAAGGTGAATACTTGTTAAGTAAGATTTACTATTGCTTTTTAACATTATTTTACGCAATGTATTGTGTTCTGCTTCGCATTATTCGTATTCAAATATTTACTTTATATAGGAATAACATGTATAAAAAGATATGAATTTTTGTTTCAAATTCGTTCGATTCGTACAAATTTTCAAATTCATTGAATTAAGAGATTAAGAATTGAAATTTTTAACTTTTTTGAATTGAATCTTAAATTTTTTTACATATTTTTACATATTTTTTTAACCAAGTCTTGCAATAAAAAGGAATGTAAAAATATTTCTTTATGTTGTTATTTCCATTCTATTTTTTGTGATTTCACAAAACATGAAACGTACGTTTTTCTTTGAAATTATACGTTACCAAGCAAAAATTATTAATAATACGTTAAATTTTTTCTTTAGATATTTGAATATCTTTTGTGCTTGACTGTTTAAATAAATATTATTTAACTAAAAATATTTTTTAACGATACAAAATTGCTATAATCGTTTTTAACATCTTCGGAAAATGTAATTCTAATATTCAATTTTCAAATAAATTCATAAAAATGTAAAGAACAATATTGTTTTTTTAGTTTCAAACTTGTATGTGAATTTAATTTTGTCATGAAGTGGGGAAAATTTGTTAATAATTTTAAATGATCTGGTAAATGAACAAGTACATGTAAGATAATTTGACAACCAGAATTCAGCCCTCCAATGATGTCATATATACTCCAAATATATTCAAAACGGTATAAACATCACCCATAGCAGAATATGGGGTATAGCAAACGTACACGCTACATGTATATGTATTTATGTGTAATCTCTTTCTCACCTAAAAAAAGTTTTCATGAAAGAAGTAATGTTGTTTCACTAATTATTGACGTGATAATTGCATCGTAAACGTAATAAAGAACCCCGTTTTACATTCCTCGTAATAAGAATTTAATCATTTCTATTTTAATTCATTTCAATTATTCGATTATTTACAAGGCAATTGTGTCCATTTACTTACAAATATAGTAGAAAAGATCAATTGTTACAGCAAGATTTGTGTTTGTCGTTGATGATCAGGCAGCAACATTTTTTTACGACAAACACTTTTCACCAGCATTATCGAGCAATTTCGATAATTTTTCTCGTGTATTTTTTTCACATGCTTTTTTTGTTTTAATTATCCTATACGAGAAATTATACGCTAAATCAGAAGCTATAAGATTGTAAATTCAACAGATCGAATAACAGTGTTGCATGTAACATTATTCTATTTGTCTGTTATTTAATTGGAGAAAATATTTACACATCTCACGATACATGCAGCATAATACGAGAGAAATTTTACATTCCTTTCTTTCTTTTTTTCGATATTTGATAATTTCATTGTAATAATAAATTTTACTATTTTTGAAAGACTAAAATGAATATTGTACCATCTGCTCGACAAGTACCGATTTGAATGAATTATAAAATTTCAATAATTTTATGATGCGATTGAACAATTTATTGACAAAACTTATTTTAAAAATAGTAAAAGTAATTGTTTGTTGCGTAAATTTTAAAGATTTGGAAGATGCTTTGTCACATAAAGTGAAACCGTGTAAAGTCAAAATTTAAAAACAATCGTGTACGAGTGTATTTACAAAAATTATATTTATAAGAAATTACGTATTTCGCTATTCTCCAAGTATGAAACGTGTCTTGCGAGCAGATGAAAATTTTGCAGATATTTAGTAAAGAAAAAAACGTAATTCATCGTAAATTTAAATCTTATCAGATTCGACGATCACTTTTACAAATTATCAAATTAACAAATGGATACGACGTTTTTTTATCGAACGTGTCATTTTACAAATATATTTTCATTTTAGCCGATGAAAAGATGAAATTGGGTTTCGGTCTATTTAAGACTCGATTACTTGTTTAGATAGGCATATGTACAATTGTCTTCCTTAATATATCTTGTCACTGTAATGTTAGGGGAGGAAAATTATTTACTTCCGTTTGTTCCAAAACTGGTCCTGTTGGTCCAGTGTAAGATATACGTAATCTCATTCTTAGAGGTACCTATATGTATGTATGAATCATTAATAACAAAGCAAAATATACTTGTAAAAATTTTTAAACGTAATATTAAAATCACGTAAACTTACTTTGTTGATATTTGTAACTTTCAATACTTGAGAAACTTGTCCAGAAGGAGGAATGACTGTGCTTGATGGTGACAACATTTGTAGTTGGAATGTCTAAATGACAAAATATAAAGAATAATCCGTTGACGCAAATCCATAATCGTAAATACAAAAATAACTAACAAATGCGATACAAAAATTACTACCTTAGGAACTGCTGCTTGGAACAGAAAATCAGTCAATATAGCACTTCCAGAATTCTGAGCTGACATATTTATAATTAATAAATCAGCAATGTCTGGCGGTCTTTCCAATCTGAAGGTTATTTTAAGTCCTGCTTTGTCCAATACAACCATAGAAAGTGTATCTGGAGTTGTAAGATAAAAATTATATCGCATCATCGATAAGAAATAAATATTTTATTAAATTGTACGAACCATTTTGGATTGACGATGAATTAAGTAAACCATCTACTAAGAAGTTTGTTGCGTTGGTAGGACTAAATATTTGTGATGGCGTTTGTGCCTGTGGCAGTGCAGACGTAGATGTAGATACATTTAAATCCAAACTACCAAGTAGGTCCAAGAGATCGTTATTATTTACTACGTTTGTTGAATTAGCAGATGAATTTTTATTCGATGCCGAAGGTGTTATTCCCAAGTCGGTAGTTCCAAGCAAGTCTAGAAGTGCACTCTATAAAAGTATAAAAAAACATCAAACTTTGTTGAAAAATTGAATGTATTTTTTTTTGTACAAATACATTCTTATAAAATGTACGCAATATGCATTTTTATAAAATGTTTGACAAAAACTTACTGAATCGGATGGCGGAGTACTTGCTTCTAAAACTGAAGATTTGTCTTCTTCTGATTCTGGTTCGCCATTTACCATACCGATAATTCCATTGGCTTGTGGTCTTGCAGTTTCCATAGGAGGCATTCTTTCGAGTAATGCAGGTCGTAAATGATCGTATTTTCTGAACAACTGTGAAAATTCAATACCTCGTTGCTGTAATTCTATGTGTAAGTTACTTCCAAATGTATCGATTATTTGACGAATTTTTCTGAAATATATACAAAAATTATATGAATGAAACCGTCTGAGAAAAATAAATGAAACAACAATGTAACGATGTAATAATTAATAATAATTAAATCTTTTAATTTTACTTACTCGTTGCCCTTCTGAAATCTTGTGCTGAGTTTTGTGAGAGACAATAAAGTATATTGTTTCGTGACGACGGTGTTTTGTGGATTCCAGAGTAACCTTTGATAGACATCGATAATTTCATCTTCCGTCAGCTAATAATGGTAGAAAAAATTAATTTTAGTTAATATTTTTTGATCGACCGAATTATCACGCGAAGATCGAGTATATAATGTGTAATATATAAAGCGTACAAATAAACATACATTGACAGGAGTATCTGTATCTTCTGACGATGGCCCGTATAATAATAGGTCGCCATATTCACCGATGCACCAAGTTGCTACTTGAGCTAACGGTTGTTTGTCAGACGTATCTTTTTCCAATGCTCTCCACAAGGCGCTGACAGCATAATTTTGCTGTGACTGCGTTTCTGAAATTAACTGAATGGTACATGCTACTACGTCATCTCGAACGTAATTACCAGCCTAGAAAACAGAGAAAACGATAGTATTGAAATATAATTAAAGAGTTAAAAAATAACATTGATGTGATAAATTTCATACAGCAACGAGAACTTTGAATAACGTTTCAAGATGCCAGCGCTTATTCGGTGCAAATCTTTCGGCAGACATTACTATATTACTACTACATTGAGCTTTAAATTCTGGGTCAGCACGTTCCAAGAAAAGTAATAACTCCTTCATCATATTTCTAATATTGTTCGAATTTACAAGTGCAAAACTAAGTTCCATAGCTCGTCTTCTAATTGATACATCCGGATCTTTTAGACACTCCTGAGAAAAAAACGAAAAAAATATAGGAAATATTTAGTCGCTACAAGAATATAAATAATGTGACATTACCAAAATTGTTGAACGATGTCTTTGTACCGCACTTGTATCTACATAAACTGTTTTTAATAATGTATTCAAAGCAACGTATCGAATATTCTTATCGTTATTTAATAAAAATCGACCTAATATATTCACTGCTAATACTCTGAGTCCACTTTCAGACTTTATATCCATAATAGACAATACAGTTTCATATAATATCGTGTTTCCAACATTTTTACTAGTTTCTGTATTAGTTGCAACTTGTGCAAGTATATCGTTCATCGCTTCGGATGCATCGATATCGTTGCGTCCCAAAATTCGGAGCAGACGTAATATTTTTACTTGAAGAAATGGATCAGATACTCCGGATACATCGTGTTCCGGAGAATATCCTGCTAGTATCAAATTTTTTAAAATCCTCACGAGATTTGGCACAATCTGAAATAATAATTATATTTTTATCGAATGATATATTATTAGCATGATTTTATGCGAACAAAGTTTAACCAAGAAATCTGTAAACATATACCGATAAACGAATTACAATAGAACGATATTGCATATTTTCACGTTAAAATTTCTTAAAGTAAAATTGTCAAAAAGCAATATTTAATACTAAATACAAAAATAAAGATACACGTTGTATATTTAAGAAACAGATATAAGCTGCCGTCAAAAAGTAACATCAATTATATCGTTTGTGCGTAAACAGCTACATTTTGACGTCCATAATATAACTAAGAAGATATTTAATAAACTGTGCTTCGTATATATTGTATACATATATAAATACATTCTTTTACATATACACGCACGCACGCGCGCGTGTATAGAGAAGCGTAATATTTAAATTTTTATTTATTACATTGCGAGTGCTTCTCTCACTCGCTTACTTGCTCACTAACCCCCCCCCTCCACCCCACGCAATAATTTTAAAATACATGCACGTGTTTTGATTTTCCACATATGAAGTATTTCACTGTTTCACGTTGATATCGGAAAAGCAGTTAATACGAATAATTAAATATTTGCATAAGATAAAATGAAAGGATACATGTAAAATAAAAGACAAGAATATTTATAAGCGTAACATGCAAAAATATAAAAAATGCTCGTATGCTTTTTACCTCTCGATGGCCGCATTCCTAGGAAGATAAAACCATACTTATATTATGAATACCACTGTGAGCAAAGTGTTATTAAAAAATAGCACTTGTACAAAATTAATCGTTTAAAACTTTTTTAATAAAATAGTTTATATTTATTTGTGTTTGATATTAACAACAAATATATCTTTTGTCTCAATAATAGACTTCCTTTCTATAAACTTTTTCTTTTTGTAAATCAATTTGGTTAAAATGAAAGAATTTTCACTAAAACTATGAATTCAATGCTTAACTGTTAATGCTACTACGATCTAATTTGCAGCTATTAGACTAGTAAACTAGAAATAACAACGGTAAAAAAAGTAAACTGTAAAAAAAATATATATATAGAATGTTCTTTGCTAGTTACAAACAACTAAATATTTAACTAGTTTCTGTGTAATATTCCTATCTTATATCAATAACATGAAAAACTTACCTTTTTAAAATGATTCAATGTATCGACACTGTTTTCACACATTTCTGTAATAAGTGTAACACCTGTGATTAATACGCCGTGATTCTTCTCTGTAATTAAACTACGAGTAGCAGGTAGAAACATTTCCATCAATTCTGGTACACGTCTGATAATTCTAAATGCACAAAGTGCTGCTTTTTTCCGAATATATGCATTTGCCGATTTCATTAGCCTTTCAACTTCGGATGCCAAGTCTCTTGCCATTTCTGGTGATGCGATTGCACCCAAAGTACATAATGCCAAACCAATGACAAATTGTGTGGAGCTATTTAAATCGCTGTAAAAGAATTAAATTTAAAGTTGTAAATACTCGTTGTAAAAAACTAATACGTGCTTCAAAAAAATATTAAAATTATTTTATGCAAATATTACTTTTTTAAACAATTCGTAATTAAAAGATGAACATCCTGACGTTCGTCTAGTAGTAACATTGCGCCTAAATAACCAATTCGTTTGTCTGTGAACCTTGGGGACGCAATAAGTTTTAAACATTCTAGTTGACCAAAATGAGCTGGGTACCTACAAAATTATTTAAAATCTTACTTCTACGTACAAACAAGAATATCGAATTATCAATCTTATTATTGAATATAAAGAGAAAATTTAATACAAACCCAAGCATATGAATGTATAAAAGTTTTGCAATGTTGCGACATCTCCATACGCTATCTTCTTCTCTGAACGTCGAACGGATATAAGCACATTCTTTATTAACAACTGTCCTTTCTTCTGCCGCGGTTCTAGCAGCTCTTATTTGTCTGATGAGATCCCTCAATCGAGTCGGAGCAGGCATTCTAACTGTTGAGACTTTTAAATTATACACATGTTATAAAGTTTAATGTTAGTAGAATTGAATGCTCAAGCTGCGAATAACGATTGTATTAAATTAAATGCTCAAGCTATGAATAATGATTGCGTTAAATTAAAATTTAGGAGAAATGCGAGCAATGATATTTAATTTTATGGAAACTTTACGACAATTGTACGCTTTTGTTTATTTTACAAATGATATTACACTTACCTCTTTCTACTGCCTCGTTAAACGCTTGTTTTATGGAGGCCATATTAAAGGCTGGGTTAAACCTGCAATGTACACACCCATGCTATTTACACGCATAAACCATTACATACCACTTTGTTTGTTGTGCAATGATACCCGTAATACGATTTCAATTGTTCTTTACTTGTTTCGAATAAACTGTTTTCCAAGCAATATTATAAATTACTATTGAAATAATATACTTTCTATCATTGTAATAACAAACTGTTTCTTTAATTTAACAAAGATGACTTTATTAAAATTAATGTAGTATCAGAAAAAATACAAAAGATTAGTGGTAATTTATGTTATCATCTTGTTATCTCTTCGTTGTATAAAATTAATAATATTAAGTTAATGTTAAAAAATATATATTACCCGTGTTCCGAAGCATTCATGATTCTCAATGATGTTCTCAAATATATGTGACAAACTTCAGCAATAATAAATGAAGTATAGGTGAGTACAGTACGCACGTTGTTTTCTTCCTATTGAGAAAAGGTCATATAATGTTACAGGTAACTATAAAATGTTATTTGTAAAAACTTTAAACAACTACGAGTGTAAAATAAACAAAAATAAGTCGATGTTCTCTACTTCTCTCTGTAAATCTTTAAACCTTTGAATTGGAAAGAACTATTATTGGATACAATGAAAACTATTATTGGATATAATATAAAATGAAAAATACAATGTAACGATACAATGTAACGTAAGAACAAATTAAAATTATATTTACATATTAGACAACACAAAGAACAAAGGTATTGTTTCCATGTACATTGTAATTCTCTAATTATCTTTGTCCATCACGTATGAACTTGCAAATAGAAACAAATGTTTATATTTACGATTGATATAAAGATGTAATCTTTGTAATCTGATCTCAGTTCGAGCTGAAAAACAATGTAACATATCGGTTTTTTTGTCGAATAGAGAACATAAACTCGAGTATACTAGTTTTTAGGCGCGTTGCAGAAAAAAGTACATATGAATGCAAAATAACCGGCCCTGCTGGCGAAATCTAAGCAGTCGAGATCAGAAGAGTGCGATGCATGCAATGGATATTACCTAGTCTTTTTGAATGTCATTCGACCACAAATTCACGTGCTATAAAAACGCGTCGCGGTCGCACGGCTCGTGCAACTCGGCAGCATATTGTAAAACGTGTGAACCGGTTATATAAAAGATCATTCGCACTGAAGGGCATCGAACCAAGGGTTAGTTTTCTAGCTGTCAAACAGTACCGAGTCAAGGACGACGGCTGGTTTTCAGGAAACTTCAGGCAGATCCCGGCAATTATGTAAACGGACGTTTCACGACGTACGCACGAAGGACCGAAAGGTGCCGTTCGAATTTATCGTTGTCGTATCGCCCACCTTTTACACAACGCAACGTCGTATGACAAATACGGCGAGGAAAAAAACGCCTCGCCTCCTAGGGCGCGAGTTGTGCGCCCTCACTCATTTTTGCAGTCTCTATTCCGCACCTGGCATATCCGCCTGTATATCGGTTTATATATACACGATTGCATTCCGAGTATTTCTTCTCTAATTTTATTTATACCGTTAACAATACATACCGTACGTGACACTTTGACTCACAAGAGGGAAGAGGGGGGGAGGTTAATCAACTGGGAAAAAAATCATGGACATAGTTGGACGTCCACGGTTGTCCACCCTATCGCCCAACGAGTACTCTTCCATGATGGTCCGCGGTATTCGCGCACCGAAAATCAAAATGGCTACCCATTTTCAACTGACGTTATTCTCCGATAATACCACGTACAATTTGGTTAATGTTGCTGCAACCATTTCCTGTAATGCGTATGCTGCCTGATCGAAGCGTCAGCGAACAGATATAAAAGATTGTTCTTTCCTGAATTTCCAACTTCGTTCCATTTTTCTTTGCAGTGTTAATTGCAGCTCTCTTATTTACACTTTTGTTTAACGTAGTGAATAACATGTTCGTTTCTAAAGCGCGAAATTTGTACTATTTTGTTTAGTTGAAAATTTATATTTCAGTTTCTTTACTCTATTCCTTTTTGCCTCGGTAAGAAAATCATTATTGAAGGTTCAGTGATACCTGCTTTCTTGTTAAATATAGAACAGTTTATAACTTTACGATGAAATATTAATACATAATCTGAGCATCATTGCACAATTGCATTAAAAAAAATATATATATATACATTCATATATATATATGTATATATATATATATATACATTTTATACATTACAATTACACATATATATATATATTTTTTTTTTTGTATAATATAAATTGTTTTTTTGTTATTCTGTAATATAATTGTTTTTTATTTCATTAAATAAATTTTTCAAGTATTTTTTATAAAATAATATATAAAATTATATACTAATGTAGTAACTTATACTACGTACTTGTTATAAATAAATATGTATTAAATAATTTAAAGTATATAATTGTATATAATTTATATATATATACATATATTATCATATATTGATAATTATATCAAAAATTAATTTTTCTATGAAATCCTAGAGATAATAAAAGTGTTACCTTCTATTTAATTCTGGTGGTAAAACACTCCAATCTTCAGATTCGTAATATGGCCACATGATGCATTAAAAATTTAGCACAAAAATTTAACACTGAAACTACAAATCATATATTTTCTAGTATACAGCTGAACTACCAGTTTTGTAGACTTTTTATCACCAACATAACAGAAGAGGATATAAGGTGTTGGCATTATCTCTTATCTCAGCTATTTTGATATCAGTAATACAAATCAGTTAAAAGAGTAATTCAGGAATTTATTAATTATATTAAATAAAGAATATTAAAAAAAATATATTATTACATGATAATTAATAACAAAGCTAATATTACAGTACGTTAAAAAATAATAAATCAAATAGTAACAAATAAAATATAAAAAGTCCATTTTTAGGAAGTAAAAAAGGTATATTAACATTTTGTTATCATATATATAAATTGATAGAGATAAGTAATTCAATTTGTACAGATTAGAAAACAAAGTTTATTGGTAAAAATGTAGTTTCTGATGTAGATATACAGAATTTTTACATTAAAATACTGTTCGTGTGTCGATTTATATTATAAAACAAATCAGGAATGTGTTGTTAAGACAAACAATTGTCATTCTGATTACGAGGAGGTCGAACATCATTATTTCTCTTGACACAATCCACGAGCCAGTGAATTCCTTCATCTATGCCATCCCTTTTGTATTATATAAATAATTACATGATGCAATTGTTTTATATAATTTATAAGTTTCATAACATGTTTATCTTACCAATGTAACATGTTCAAAATTACGTGGTATAATTTGATTGATATTTTATTATTTACAACAAGGATGTTTTATATTTTTCAAAAAATCCTATGTATAATTAAAATTGCAATTATATGTATAAAATTTAAATGCAAATATCATTAGTTAAGACGTTAGATATGTTAGATAAAATAATTACTATTTTAATTCTGGTTTTGGTAAATGATTAATACGAATAAACAATTTACAATTAAATAAAAAATTGGCACGATATCATGTTATGAATTATTACATTTTTCTATTTAACGTAAGACATTTGTTACATTTGAAATAATTTCTTTTTAGAACTATGTTGGAATACAAATAATTTCTTTATGGTTTATATTTTATTCATTTGTTAATTGCCATTTATATCATTGTACCAACAACTTAAAACAATTATATGTAACTTATAAAATCATATAGATATAAATAATTATGATATAATTTATTTAGTTGTAATGAAACAAATTTCAAATAAAAAAAAGTTACATACCCATTCAATGCCGAAACAGGCATTACCATGCAATCTCTTCTACCTATTAGGTGTGCATTTTGATTAAAAATTGGTTTTACTTCTCTAACACCCATACAATCAGGCACATCCTGTTTATTTGCTAAGACTAAAAGTGGTACGCCTATTAAGTGTTCCGATGAAATGACTCTATCTGTAATGAAATAGAAATATTTGTTCAGTTACAATTCAGATTATTACAATTTAGCGTATCTATTATTCCTTTCATACTTTACCAAATGTTTCTTTAGATTCAGATATCTTTTCTCGATCTGATGAATCAACTATGTAAATAACAGCATGTGATTCTGCGTAATACTGTAAATGCAAGATATATTTGTAAATATACCTACATAATATGTACAAGTATACGTAAAATTATCAATTACCTTATCCCACAGTGATCGAAGTTCCTCTTGTCCACCAAGATCCCAAAAGTTAAAACGAACACCAGCTATGTCAATTTTTCCAATATTTAAACCAACAGTTGTTGTAATTTTACTGGGATTCATACCTTTGTAATTCTTTGTAAATTTTGTTTTCGCCGCTTCTAAATAAGTCTGTGGATACAAAAATCGCGTGAAAACAAATTTGTTTACTTATTTAACCATAAATTATCCAATTTTTTTTGGTTCCTTACCGTTTTCCCTGCATTGTCAAGACCTAATATTAATATAAAATACTCATCTTTTTGCACAAGATACTTGTACAATCCATGTAAAAGTGTGTACATTTCAAAGTGTGTCTAACTATCGAAAAATTTATGTTTCATATTGTTTGCATATCATATTTGAAAAATATAATCGTCCATGACAGATCATGTGCTCTATTTTATATGTAAAGATATAAATGAGAATAAAAATAAATATGTTGAAATAACATGCGTATCAATACGCGTGTGTGATTCAAATTACACAATATTTGATATTTCTTACGTACGAGACTTTGTAAAATGAATATTTACAATTTTATTTATTTATTAAAATTAATTAATAAAAATTATTATTTTGTATTACTCTTTTTTGTTATTTAGTATTCAAATATTTGTATGATTTAATGTTTTTATATTTTCATTTTATCTTTTAATATTTAAGTCGAAAAATCATGTTACGCTCAAAGACGATGTAAGAATTATAACCAAGTAGTATGCAAGAATTATAACCAATGGTAACAATTTTAAGATTTTATTGAATTTCTGCATTGTTATAAGGTTTCTTAACATCGTAACGTATAATTTAAGGTACAATAGGTAGAGCTTGCAGTGACATGCAGGAAATATGTCGAAATTAAAATGGTTGTCAATTTTGACGTTTCAAATGTTTTTAGCAACAAGTATAGATGGTTCGATAGGTGATAGATCTCAGTTTTATAGTTTATGTCTTGAAAAATGTCATAATAATAATTGTGACGGTGGTACGTATGTTTAATGATGTAACGGGAAAAAATTCGGTAATATATTTTGAAAGTATTGTAATTAATAACATTGTTGTAATTTAATATTCTCTGACTGAAAAATTAAAATTAAAATAAGAAACAAAGAAAATATTTTAATATTTTATTATATATTATTATGCAATATGTACTTACTGATGTATCAACTTGTTATTTTACAGACCAAAAATTTAAAATACTACCTCCTTTATCTTTAAGATTATTATTTTGGTCTTGTAAAGAAGACTGTAGTTATAGTTGTATTTGGAAGACAGTTGATTATTTTACATCTCATAGGTTAAAAGTTCCTCAATTCCATGGAAAGGTATATCACGTGCATTTTGTGATAAAAATCAAAACATAAGTTTTAATAAGATTTAACAAATTATTTGAATAATTTCCATTTCAGTGGCCATTTATTCGTATTTTTGGCTGTCAAGAACCTGCTTCTGTTATATTTTCTGTATTAAATTTTTATGCTCACATTACTATGTATTGGAAATTTAAAAGAAAATACGGACCTACTTATCCTATGTTTTATATATGGACTTATTTTAGTCTGGTATTTATTTAAATAAATATAATTTTCAAATATAGTTCTATCGTTACATAAATATTTCTATTTTCAAAAGATCTAATTTCAGGTATGCATGCATGGATGGTTTTGGTCATCTATTTTTCATGCAAGAGACATTCCATTCACAGAAGTCATGGATTATTCCTGTGCGTTTATTATGGTTCTTACATTATTGTATTGTATGCTATTAAGGTAATTTATGTTATTAAACGTAAGGATATAATATTTAAAAAAAATTAAGGAATGTATTTTTACTTCGTGCATTTTAGGATAACTTATAAAAAAAGTAGGTTGTTTGTTGTGATTACATGTGGATATCTTAGCACTTTGTATTCACATCTATCTCATTTATGGTCTGGTTACATTAATTATGATTATAATATGAAGTTTAATATAGTTATAGGTAATTTACTCAAGTATTTTTATTTTTTCCATTAATGAAACATTTTTAATTAAATATAAAAATTATGACTAATTATATTACAGGTTTTTTAACATTTATTATAACAATGATATGGTGGCATCGCAATCGCAAAAAATTATCTTATATTTATCTAATTGGCTGGTTCAATATATTAACAGTTTTTGTTACCATATTAGAAGTAGCAGATTTTTCACCAATCTTTTGGATGTTTGATGCTCATTCTTTGTGGCATGCTAGTACAATTCCTCTTACAATTTTGTTGTATAGGTAAGTATAATTTATTTGGTATTAATATATTATAAATATATTTCTATATAAAATTTTCAGATTTATGATGGCAGATTGTTCTTATTTGAATAAATGTTATGGCAAATTAATATTAGATATTGATCATATACATTAATTTACTAATTATTAATTATTTATTAATACTTTCATATTTCTTTAGTAATATTTCTAAAATATTGTTTAATATTGTTTAATTATAAAATAGTGAACGTTATAATGCTTTTTGTTGATTGTAAAACACTATTTTTTATTGAACATTAAATGAAATTTACAAAACATCTTCTTCGTGTACTACTTAAATATATTAATAGTATATGTTCAATTTTGTAAAGATATTAGATAATACAAATATATAAATAATATATCAAAGTTATAATTTATAATAAAATTAAAATATAAGAATACAATGAATATGTAATATAAAGTTTTTTTTAGATTGATATATAACAGTCATCTTGTTTTTGCAAATAATATTTAACATGGCAGAATAAGCTATTATTGGCAGTATAATTAATAGTAAATATTACAGACATTTTAATATTAATATAAGAATTTAGATCAAAATGTCTTGATATAACCGCATTTATTACTTAATACACGAAAATATATAAATACTTTGAGGAATGTGTTGTAGCACGGAAATTAATTATATCGTTACCTAATTGACAAAATAATAAGTTTTAAGTACCTGGTATACATTTAAACTATATGTGTACTTTAATAGATAACAGACCGTATATATATAACATAACAATTGATAAGATGTATACAATATTTTAAAGGCACGTTAAACATTCCTTAACTTTGATAATTTATGTATATTACTGACAATTAAAATAAAAATATTGTTTTGTTAAAAAAAAAATTTTGTTATGGAATTAAGTTTTTTAAAAATTTTTATATTATAAACAATATTAAATAATTTATTTCTTCTATGCAAACGTAATACAATTATATATATTACTTATAAATTTGAAGTTACAATGAAAAGATAGTATGAATTTAATTTATCTTTTTATTCGCGTTGAACTCTATAAATTAAGTATTTATTTAAGTAATTTGTTTTAGTAATCATATGTTAAAAAATTAATGGCAAGTCTGCATTCATTATAAATTTTTCACTTTGTAATTGTTTCTTGATAAAACAGTAATTATGTAAATTTTGTATAATAAAAAGCGCATTTTATAATGTCAGTCTTATTGCAAAATATATTAAATATTTTCTGTATAGCTTACAGAAATATTTAATATTAAATAAATGCATATCTAAAATCGAAAGTTATCTTACACTATATTGTTATTTAATTGTGATGGATAACCGAAAGTTAAGATGTAAAACAATCTTACACCATGCCGCAATTTGTTTCATTATATTAATATTAAATTTTATACTTTTCCTTATATATTTTTTTTTCGTTTACTTCAAGTTGTGTGCTTATACCAATGTACAAATTAAACAGTATTATTATCAAAGAGTATTTTACTTTTACAATTTTATAAAATTGTTTTGTAAAAGTATGTAGTTGAAAAGAATTTATAAAAAGTCAATAATTCAATTATTATTGAGAAGTATAAGTAGTACTACTACTGATGTGGTTATTAAATAGATATCATGTATAATATAAAATATAACAGTAGAAATTTTTATGCTTTTCTAAAAAGAAATATATGTATAAATAGGTCGATATATCACAATATGGATACCAAATGTTTTACATTAAATTGTTTAATTTTGTGTATATATATATATTTTTTTTTATTTTGAAGAATTATTAATTTTTGCGACTTTTTTTTCTAAGTACTTTAAATATAAGTAAATGAAATAATTTGCGCCAAAAAGATGTAATCTACTTTTTATAATGTTTAGCGCTTAAATAATGCCTCACTTTCTGGATTATCGTCTCTATGTTTTTCAAGATTTCCTGATAAAGTAGGATCTGGCCGCCGTCTTTTAAAGAATCCAAGTTTTCGAAGGACTAAAGTAATTAAGATGAATAATAGCAAACCTGCTACAACAGCTACTATAATTATCCATATTGGCACTGGTTCACCATCTTGGTGATCAAGAAGATCTGGATATACAATTGTCTCGGCCTATACATTAATACATAATTACAATGTGAAAAATGCTGAATTGATAATATTAAAGTATAATACTTACAACTGCGTAATCGTCTTTTAAATTTTCTTGTTGTATTATAACATTTGATGGTATAACAATTTTTGCATTGGAACCTATCTTAACTTCATCTACTTTTGGATAATCTTCTACAAGAGTGGAATTCCACAATCTGAACATACATAAATATTAATTTAGTGAATGAAGAGTTCGGTAAAAAAAAAAAAAAAAAATACGGTTATGTATGAAATATCAAATATCAAATATCACCTTGCTTTAACAGTTATGATTGCTTCCTGTTTTCGTTGCAAATTGTATATAAAACATGTGATATCAAAGCATTTTGCAGTTCCTGCTTTACAATTCTATAATATTTAATGATAAATTTTAAATATTTATTATATTTTTTACATAATTTTTTCTAAATTGATAAATTACGCACCATAGAGACTACTTGATGTCTGTGACCATCTTTATCAATGATCGTTCGTGTGTTAACAACTTTCTCGGTATCTCGTCTAATTCTTATGTGATTAGTATGATTGTGCGGTAATGGAAGAGGAGTAGATATTATAGATTGGAACACATCAATATCATCGTAACTAACACTGTCTTGTAATTTTAATGGATTAACTACGTGTCCTGGTGGCAGTATACATTCGCCATCGCCTAAAGCTACAAAGTTGTAGTAAATAAGATACATATATATCAATATTAAATAGGATATAAAAAGATGTTGCAAATTAACACAAAATAAAATTTTACCTTGTACAGTTGGTAATTCTTCCAAATATAAAAGCCATTTACCATGAGCTTTGTCATTTGCAACTTCATAAGGCCATGATATGCGTACTTCTAAACTACTTACTCTCCATGGACCTTCATTAAATACCTCGTACACGTGAGATACTTTAGGTCCTACTTCATTTAAATGTTTTATGGCAGATTCACCTACAACTGGACCACCGTAAAAGGCCCATTGAATTTTTGCACTCCTATAATTTAAATTATTCATTTATAATTAATACTCTTATTTTATATTATAATTTTTTCTCATCACTATCGTAAATAAATAATACCCTTTAATTGACAATTCTGCTTGTTTCAATACTGTCGCCTGTAATCTTATAGGTTGTTTTTCTTTTATTTCCTTTGAAGTGGAGTTTGCAAATATTACAAATTCCAATTGTGATTTATTATCTTCTAATTCTTTGGGATCGAATCTTACTTGTATGTTAACTATTTTATCCTTTTTAAAAGGATTTCCAATAGAACAGCCTACTATAGTCGCATTATGTAGATTGCAGATAGCTGAGTCATTACTTTTACTAGCAATATAATTTAAACTTTGAGAATGAATAATAAATAATTGTGCTTCGTATGCAGATTCTCCAATATTAGACACATTTACATCAACTACAACTTCGTCTCTTTCACCAAGAAGAAGTTCATAGAAATTTGGTTTCACGGAAGAAGCTAGTAAGATATATTAATCATATATTAATATCATGTATTAACATCATATATTAATTTTTATAAATTTTTTTAGTTTAATATTTCAATAATTTTATTTATTTAAAAATATACCTGATAAATTTAATCGAGCCTTTACTTGTAGATCAGTTTCACAAATATCATTATTACCACAATCTTTTTGAAAAGTTGCTTCAAATATACGAGCAGATTCTTGTTGATTTAATATAGGATAATTTTTTATATCAGGTAAAGGTTCTCCTTCAGCTGGCATAATTGGTTCTTCTTGTATTAATGAATAATTTAAGCGAAATTTAATAGGTGATTGAATATCACGTGTATTTTCCTAAATAAGATGAAAATATTATACTATTACTAACATTGTTAATACAAATATTATTTCTGCTATATAAAATACCTTTAAATAAATTATTTCTTTTTGACAATGCTCTAACTTTTTTGTATCTAAATTAACAGTACGATTTATATAATGTAGATGAGAATATTCAGCTCCAAACCAAACTCTAGAAAATTTTTTAATTCCACTATAAGTTTCAGCTTCGATGTAATAATTTAATTTTAGATTTTGCAAATCTTCTTCTTTTACTAAAGATTCTGTTTTGCAACAAGCTTCAAATGAAAAACTGGAATAAATTAACTACAATTTTATACAGAAAATATTTATGAAAGTAATATTATTTCGAAGTAATATTATTTCATTAAATTACATTTACCATGTATGGTTTGAATTTGGATCTCCTGGACATCCAACTTTATTAGGATCTATAGGTTCTATTTTGTCTTGAACTGTACCATCTTTTTTTAAATAACGGATATAAGTAGTTATGTCAATAATTTTTTTTGAACGAAGAAGTGCTACAGCATCATTTTCGTAAGCTCCTACTAATAAATCAGAATATCCATTTTGATCCATATCAATTCCGCCACTTAATGAATAACCAAACGTTTGTAATGGTTCTGGCATATCTTCTGCATGAATAACCTAAAGTTAACAAATTATCGTAATATAAAAGATATATTAACACAGCAAATTAATTTATTTTTATAATGTTGTGATAATAATGTAATGATACCTGCGATGGTACTGTGATTATTCCATTTTTTGAACCAAGATATATATATACTGTTCCTTTTTTCTCATATGGAGCTCCAATAGCAATATCTTCATATCCATCTTTATTTAAATCTCCCAAATTTGTCAAAGCAAATCCAAATCTATAAATTAAATTACATTTACTTACATTTACTTATTGTTGCATATTCAGTCATATATACAAATTTAAAAAAAAAATAAAACCTTGATTCTTCACGGCCAACAAGTTTAATAGGTTTACTCTTTTCACGTTCTTTGTAAGTTTTTTGTAATGTAGTATATACATATACTGCACCTCCCTCTGCCTTATTAAAGTAAAAAGGTGCAGCTACAATAAGATCAGTAATTCTAAAAACAAAAGAGTGTAATAGGATAATTTGGAAATGTCCCTTGTATGTTTAAAAATAATATATTAAGCATTATACTTGTCTCCATTAACATCTGCAGATGTAATTTCATATCCAAAACTTGAAGCAAATTGTTCACCATCCAAAATAAAAGCAACATCCATATCTGGTTTAAAATCGCGTCGTGTAAGCAGAACAACTTGACCTGTACCATTTGAACGAGGAGCTCCAGCAGCATAAGCTAGTCCAGTGCCAAAGAAATTACCCACAGTAACAGACATTCCTGTAAATTAATCTTATATTTTACATATTTCTATAATAATTTAATAAACTAAATACATTATCATTAAATACCACATCATATACATGTATAAAAAATATCTATATTATCTTTATATGAAATATTTACCTAAATAGCTATATTTATTGACCGGAGAAGAATCTTGCATTGGAGCATTATAAACTGTATTATCTCTAGTTAAAAACTCTTCTGAAATGGTAAAGAGGTATAAAGTTCCTCTCCAAGTATGTGGGCCAGGAGTTCCAATAACAACACGATCTTCTGAGGTAAGTACAGCACTAGTTCCTGCTTGACAATACCCAAACTGTTCATGTGCTCTAAAATAAAATCATATTTTTATTAATTTCCATAAAAACATTAATTTTAAAAATAATTATAATAAATGAATTACTTATTGGTTGGTTTCCCAGAGCAAGGTTTTTTTAAATCATGGTATTTCAAATCTTGTGTTAATATGTAACATTGTCCTTGACCCCATTGAGAATCTGCTGTCTTTACAATATGTCTATGAGCACAAACCTAAAAATTTGTTGTATTAAATTATATTTAACTTAATAATATCAATAGATAAAATATAATAAAAATCATACCATTACTTTACCACCAATACCTTGACTACGCACTGTTACTCCTAACCATTGATTATCTTTAATTTCATCATTACCTGGTGGTATTAAATCATCAGATTCAATATCTAAAATTTAAAAAACAGTTTATTAAATAATAGATTACAATAATAATAATGTAATATAATAATAATTACTATATTATAATAAAATATAATAATAATTATTAAATGATAGATCATAATAGTAATAACAACTAATAATCATATAATATACATATTACTCATTTTACAATATAAATGTTTTCTATCAGACATTAAATTCAAACATTAAATTTTGTATCATTTATGTTATTTATGTTTTTAAATTACCTAATTTTTTCCTATTTTAAATTGTATAATAAGATTATGTAACTGTAAATGAAAAAAAAGTAAAAAAAAAGAAATAAAAAAAAAAGAAGCCAGATAAATATTTATAAATAGTATAAAATTTAAATATTTTGAAATTTAGAAAAGAAAAGGGAAATAGAATATAAGGGAAAAATATAAAGGAAGCCTGAGTAATATAAATTAGTATCCATGAAATTTCATGCTATAGCAATTAAAGGATAGGCAGACAAATTACTAACCTTTTGAGCATTTAGCACATACTAGAGTACATATTGTACAGATAATCTTATAATCAATAAAATAATTACTTTACTTATTAGAGATTCATAGAAGAAAATATATTACAATATATGTAATAAGTTGTACTGTATTATATTCAAAGATGAATACATTCTTAATTTGTTTATGTTCTTCATTCAGTATTAAACTTTTAGACTTTTGATAATTTTAAGCATTCAAAGAGTTAAGAAGCGACAACAATTAAATATATAATTCATAAAATATATGAGAAGACAAATAATTTTTTTGTTAATATAGTGTTTTAAAATGCAAATGCAGTTAGTAAAAATATGTTAGCAAATATAAAAAAGATGATTTGTTAATAATGCACTTGATAAAAAAATATTCTTTCAATCACAAAATATAAATAATGCAAGAAAATAATTATTACATCATAACATAAAATGTCATGCTGATATAAAAATGAACATATTAATGTGCGTGTGTGTGTGTGTGTGTGTACAAAATCATAATAAAATAATAAAAAAAAAATAAATGGCTCTTCATTCACGTAACATCATTCATTGACTTACTTGTGTCATACAGACTCCCTTCTGCTGCTCGTTAACCAATACATAATTTAACAAAAAAATAATCTTATTATATATATATAACACAAAATAAAGCACAATAACTTAATGACTTTATGAGATGATAACATAAAAAAATGACATGCACAATGATTACACCAAAATCATATATAAATGTAAGGTAACGTATATTATAACATAAAAATAAAAAAAATATGTATATAATTTTACTAATAAAACATAAATTAGTTTCGATAATATACTTTGTAGTTAAATTTCAACTCATTTTCATTATAACAAGTTCTAATATATTTTAATTAACGTGATATTATAGTACTAAATATAATATGCTCCTGAAAACTAAATAGTTTAATATCATATAGAATTAGATTCTATAAAATGATCATATCAATATTTCTAAAAAATTTTCTTTAATTAAAAACATACTTGATCGTCCATCCGTAATCACTTGAGTGCAATCTGTTTTATATGTTGTCAAAGGACATTGCCATAATGCACCAGACCTGTTAGTTTCTGGTTGTCTATTTTGACCTAAAGGAGCTCCAATTAACATCCTGTAACATAATCTTGTGTAAGCCTTATCTTATAATCTTATGTAAACCTTATTATATGTTGTAATAAACAGATTAAAATTAAAATAAATAAAAGCAAGCAAAATAAATAAAGTAATAAAATATTAACATTATACAACAATAATAAATCATATGATATTCAATCATTATTATTGTACATATTTTTTTGGTAATTTTAATTATTATATATATTTTTTTGGTAATTGCGACAAAAATATCAAGTAATATGTACCAGCTTTTCGGCTTTCCCTTATCATCGTCGGGAATTTCTTGATGTTCGGCTACGGAGTAACCAAAATAAGAGCCATTTAATCCTTTTTTGATAACAGGTATTCTTGGTTCTAAATTAAAACCATGCACCAAGCATACATTCAGAACGACCAAAACCAGTTGATAACATTTCATTTTGTGGTTAGCTTTAATCGTTTTTGCACATATAATTTGATAAATGTTATATATGATTTCAGAAAATGTGCAAGCTCTTATTGCTGAAACTATTTTCATGTACTTTATTCTTGTGGTATCTACAATCTTTTAAACACGTATAGGATCCAACTGATCCACCCACGCTCTCTACACATACTACATATGTACATGTATATATATAAAGTTTTTTTCTGTAGCTAGGGTATATTTTGTAATTTTATAGAGAGCAGTATTTAATAGAAAAATATTCTCAATTACATTTTCTAAAAATTTTAGTTATTTGAAATTTTTATAAAAATATAAATACATATATACGAAGTTTATGTATAACTAAACAAATATAGCACAAAATAAATCCCAGTACGTTTTTGCAGTATATTTTATTGCAATTAACATTAAAAAATTACTAAAAGGCTTTGAATTTAAATTTGTGATTTAAAAAACAATAAATAATAAAATTAAGAATTGGAGAAAAATGTATATTATTTATATTATGTTCTCGATTATCTATACATAAATTATCAATAATTTAGCGATACCAAACAATACTATAGTCGCGGTACAATTGTGTTTATCAAACGTATGTATGTATTTACTACATGCACGTTAGATGAATAATATTTATGATAAACTTATATTTTAATATTTAATGAAAATGTATCGCTTTAAGAACAAAAAATTCGTTGTGACCTTTAACATAGTAAGAAATATGGGTAATGATACATTACTTTCTAAATTATTAATCTTTCTGTATACCTTAACCTATTTTTACAATACGTATATCGGTACCATAAATACATATTTTTAAAAATGGAAAGAAGAATAATTTTATGAATGAAATTTTTACAAAAATGCATGGGTTCTTTTTTAGCCACTCTTAAAAGATTTTATCGAAAGACAAATATATTGCTCAGTGATGGAAAATTTGAAATTACGCTTGATCAAAGAAAACTCAAGACACCACAAAGAAAAATATTACAAGTGGATAGCAAACCTTTAGCTTTAGCTGTAGCAGCAGAGTGGGATATGCAAAAAAATATTATTGACAAAAGTAGTATGCATCTGGTAAGTTTATCTTTATAACGAAATATATATATAATTACATATAATTTGATGGACAAGATTTAACAAAATTTCTATATTTATTTTTATAGACAGCCTTATGTAATACTGTAATAGATAATCCTCACGATCATACAAAGCAAGATATGGTAAATTATATTGTGAATTGTTTGGAAATGGATACAGTATTATTTCATTCATATGTATGTTCTACATTATAATGTTATTCATGTAACATAAGATATTTATTAAGTAGAAAGCAATTTTAGGAAAATGAAGAATTGTATAAATTACAAACTGAAAATTGGGATCCACTAGTACAATGGTTTTGTGACAATTATGGAGTAAATTTGATTAAAACTCAAAGTATAAAAGCTCCTACGGTACCTTCAGAAACTAAAACAATATTGACAAGACACTTAATGTCTCACAATTACAGTGCCGTTTGTGGTGAATAATTGTTATTAATATATATAAATATAAAATGAATGTTATAATATAGCTGTTATATATGTAGGTCTTATGTACGGAGTGGATGCAATCAAATCTGTAATTCTTACTCTAGCTGCAGCAGAAAGAGTAATTAGTATAAAAGAAGCAGTGAAACAGTCACGTTTGGAGGAAAATTATCAAGTACGTAGCATTACATAGCAATATTGAGAAATTTACAATTAATATATTTTTTTTTCCTGAACTATTTTACTTCTTATTATAGGTTTCTCACTGGGGATCTGTAGAGTGGTTTCACGATCATAATAAATATGATTTGCAAAGTCGTTTAGCTGCAGCTATCTTATTTATGCATTTGAATTCTTACTTTGTGTCGTGTCAACCAAAAATAGATAAAAATGTTGATTAATTTATGAAAATTGACTAAGTAAATTTTGTACATATAATGTATTGGAATGAAAGGAAATAGTAACAATATTTTTATTAGTTTGAAGTATGGCAAGATGGATTAACAAAAGATAATGATGCCTCTGCTGGTATGGAACAGTCGGAACCCATCCACTCTTTTGTACAAATACAACTGAAATAATTAATTGATATTTTATTTCGATATTAAAGATCATATATTAGCTATAGATAATTTTACCTATATGTAGCTCCATGATTTAAGCAAACTGCACCATTTTTACATAAATGACGAATGCATTCATTTCTATGACATTCACCAACACCACGACCTGTTGCAGGACTCGAATTGGTTATTGGGTAAATAGCGGTATCTGTGCGTAATTCAATGTCAAATATACAACCGGAAAATCCGGTATGAAGGGGTAAATCGTGAGGTAAAGATTCAAAGTTTTTCGACTTATGTCCACCTGAACAGAACAATACATACATAATCATTTTTATCAATGATATTGTGTACAAATTACCTTTTAATATAAATTATGAAATTATAAAGGACGAACCGATATAAAGTATCGGTGATACATCAAGTCGTGTCATGGTTCCAATCACTCGTCCAGTTACATTACCTATACCATCCACTGCAAGCCATGCATCTCGACCCTTCCTTCCAACTCTGATTGTATATGCTACATGATGTTTACTTGTTGCCATTGTTGTAACACTCAAGGGAACATTTGTGAAAATTCTACGAACACCTAAAGAACGAAATTAAATAGAATTAAAAAGATATTAGTTATTATATTTAGATATATTTAAATATATTATATATTATATTTAGATTATTAAAATACATTACCTGCTCCTAAATCCCATGTTAACATAATGTAACCACGAACATATGTTATGGAAAGATGATCCGATAGATCTCGACGAGATCCACTTTGTCCTAAATAAGCTATCAAAGATATTTGTTCATAAGTACGCGGTATGATCTTCAGTTTCAACTCCATTGTATCTTTTATAGAATTTGAAATGCCGTAAGCGACATACGATGAGAATCCAGGTATAAGTACCGAAAATGATGGTCGCATTATGGTAGTATCTGGAAGTGCAGCATAAAATATACTTGTATGTTTCATTTTCAAAGTGTATAATAGCGTATATTACCTTCTTCACATAAAAGTCCATGAGTTCCAAGTGGACAAACGCAAACGAAACCTGTACCTGGTGAATTGATACAAGTTGCACCCAAGGCACAAGGATTTTCGTCGCACGTTGAACGTTCACAAAATGAACCTGTATATCTATTACGTGATATTCTGTTTTACACAATATCTTTTAATAGCGAATTTTCAAGTATTTTCAGATACAAATTATCTTACCCAGCTATGCATCTACAACGCACTGCACCGTTTATTTCTTCGCATGCACCAAAATTTTGACACGGATTTGATAAGCATAAAAACGATGTGCAATCTTCGATTTGAAATGTTTCTATGGAATCATGGATGAAATGACGTGGTATATCGTTTATCTATATCAACAAAATAAATCTCGTTTATCTATATCAACAAAATAAAATAAAATTTTTAATTTTCCGGATGCTTTCAACATGTTTATAAAATGACAAACCTTTAATGAGTCCATGCAACCAGTAAATCCCATAGAAACGTGAGCGAAATAATGGGAAAATACCAATGGTATACCGCCTAAATGTAAATTAGCATGTCGTGGAAGATTTCCACGTAATGGCAAAATTTGTTCTCCGCTAACTGCCGTTGTTCCATTTACTAACAAACGAGCTGAACATTTATTAGTTTCATTCTTCATAAAGTATTGAAACCTACATATATAAATAAATGAATACAATGAATAGATATGATATATTATTGTTATTGTATTATTTTACCTTGTGTCAATGTCCGCTTCGTATCCATTATCAATGGGTGAATCTATTTCGCCTAATAACATAGTTTCAAGTCCGCAGGAGAATTGAAACTTTAAAGAACCATATTCTAAATATACCAACGCGTACTTTTCGTCATCGAAATAAATGTGTAATATAATACCATCTTTATAACGTGTTTTGAGCCTGACGAAAATTTTTAATGTTGCGTTACTGTCATCTGAAATTTCTACATCAACATGTTGTCTCGCGTAAGATTTTCCATTAAACGCCGCCCGTACTATAGTTGATTCAGGTTTGCAGTCTTCACGATGTGAACAGTTACACTAAAGAATATTAATGTTTTTATTATAAACAATATGGCAATAAAAACAGAAAACAAGGAAGGCTTAAGCAAGGTAGAAATAAAAAAGTGTGACACTTGCGTCGCTATCATTACGTGTAGGCGATACTGTGGAACTTTCCATGCACACAATTCCATGACATTCAGGAGTGATAGTACTTTTTGAAGTTGCTGGTAATTCAGTTTTCGTTGAAAATTGTTCGTGTTCGCTCTCGGTAGTAGCTTTATCGAATATTATAGGCTTTACAGAGCTACTAGTTGTCACAGATGAAGATATATTATTAGCAAAGGCCAATGTAGAACTTTCCATTTCTGTAGTCGAAGATTTTATTAATTCTATTGATGTCCATTTATCTGTAAATGTCTGAGGTGTAACTCGGGGAGTGCTTGACTCCAAGCCTTTATTTTGCCAAAGTTCTGTAAAATTTAAGGAAGATGTAACAGTAGAGAATGGACCATTATTTCTTTCACTTTCGGTCGTTGCACGTTCCTCTGTCGTTTTTTCGATGGATGTAGTTACAACTGGATAATACCTAATTGACAATAAAACAAGATAGATCGTTCATCTGATATAGCGATAATTACTGTTTTCGTATATAAGTTATAAATTATCGTTACCCTGCACTTGGGATATATTTCGTTGTGCTACTTGCTTCAGAAGACGTATCGCTGGTGGACGTGAACATCCTACCACCGTTCTCTTGAGACATAATTTCAGTCATTATCGTTTCATTGTAAATCGATTTCTGTGTCAGATATTCTTCTACTTTCATCGTCGACACTATAGAGTGAATTTCGTCCGAGACACTGTGAAATGTTCGAGGTTCTAACGAGGCTGTCTCAGTTTCAGTTATCTGTTTACTTGTAACAGAATACGTAAGCGAAGCATCGGTAACAAACGGAGTACTTTCTGTAGTGCTCCCGCTAATGCTACTGCTGGTACTGCTACTACTAGTAAGAAAGTCGAAGTTTTTATCAGTTGAGGATGTTGTTTCTAGAAAAGGGTACCATATTGTGTGGAAACGATTGGTGCTTTTAAGAGGAATTGAAGTTGACTGTACTGTCGTGGAAACAGTAATCGATGATGATGTAGTATCGGTCTGTGGCAGTGTCGATGATTTCGATGGAAACGAAGTAATGGTAATATTCCTTTGATGATTATCAGTCTCAAGCGTTTCTTCGATGGTTGAGAAAGTCGATGGAAGATCATAAACATTGCAGAATGGTCCGCTGTAAAACGTTGGGCAAGCACAAGTGAAACTGTTGATACCGTCGATGCAAGTGCCTCCGTTCTCGCAGTTTGCAAATTTCGATTCGCAGTCGTCGTACTTCAATTCGCACAATGCACCATGATAGTCTGGCACGCAGTAACAAACTGGCCGTTCGTCTTCGAATAAGCATACTGCGTCGTTTACGCAAGGATTCTGTTCGCAAGGTACTACGGTTTTATCGCAATCTTTACCTGTATATCCTTGGGAAGAGCATTTAATGATGTTAATTCCGTGAATTATAAATTGAATCTCTAAATTATCTACAACATACCAAATAAACAAGCGCATGTGTACGAAGCAGGAATGTTAATACAAAGACCACCGTTCTTGCACGGTGATACGATACATTCATCGATATCCTCGTCGCACAATCGACCTGTCCAACCTTTGCAACAAAAGAAATTTGTTTCTCAATGTGCTCTGCAATATCTTAATTAAAATGTAAAATACAAATATAAATATAAATTACTTGATAAAGTATTATACCTTCCGAGCAACGACAAAAGAAAGAAAATCCAGGTCCTTCCACGCATTCACCACCATTCTTACATATCGTATCGTTACAAACCGAGGCATCAATTTCACAATAATCTCCTTAAAAGGAAATGGCTTGTCAGATAAAACCAATTTGAGTATCGATCAATATTAACCTTCGGAGAACCATGTCGAGTTTATTTAAATTCGACAGTATCGTCGCAAAACAGAAGATAAGAATCGCGGAAGATGCTTGATCAAATGTCAAAAATATATGTACCTATACGCAAAATACATCTTATATCGAACATTATTGTATTATACATGCAATGCACAGAAAAAGTGCCGTTTTATTTATGTTTCGTTTAATTTACTCGTCTTTGTTTTTTTTTTTGTTTATATCCTTTTAGAAAAGGAATTTTAGAGTTGATCACATCGATAGTTCGTTAAAGTAAAGATTTATATGCTAATTTACCTGAATATCCGTCAGGACATTGACAAGTGATGCCATCGTAATCGAGGCAGGTCCCGTTATTTAAACAAGGTTGGTTGGAACATTCACTATATCTTTGTTCACAATTTATACCTAAAAATACGTAATTAACGTAAGTATAACGTGTAATACAACGCACAATAATGTAATATAATAATGTATAAATATAGAATATAACGTATAATAATGCAGTATCTCGTCATCCAAGTGAACGTAAAGATTTAATTTTAATTTCACATCTTATTAAGCAGATCGAAGCACGAACATTATTTGATCACCCCGTGTGCTAATATGTCAACAACGTGACGTATTAGACGTGTGTGTTACAACGTGACGTGTTTTCGAAACATGCAACGAAGAGTAAACGAAGGAATCACGAATTACCTACAAACCCCTCACTGCACGTGCAATTATAAGCTGCAACACCATCGTTGCATGTCCCTCCGTTGAGGCAAGGATTCGACCAACAATCATTCCAATTGATCTCGCAATTGATTCCAGTGTAACCGTCGATACAGTAGCAAGAATAAGTGCTATAGTATATTCACGGGACGAATGACTAATATATTAATTTTCATTTATAATCTTCTTTCTTAATCGAATATAAAGAACAAACTGAAAGTATATTTATTCTACTTTGAAGTATTTTATGTACCTGTTCGCGTCTTCTAAACAAATTCCATACATGCAAGGA